GCAACCACAGGGACAGCAGAGCCTTGGGCCTGCTGACGGCAGGGACACAAGCAGACACTTCTGGAGGAGGAAGGTTGTCAGAGGGGTGGTTGTCTGCAAGAGCATCCGAGAGAGCCCCAGGAGCCCAGAGCATTGGCTCTGACAAAACTCCTGGGGAAAGTGCTGCTTGCCTGCTAGCAGCCACTGACTAAAGTAGCTCAGCCATTTTAGCAAACAGGGAGTGAGAGAAGCGGCAAAAGTAATTGGTATGGATGCTACAGAAGCAGCTGGAGATGGGAAGCAGGTGATGGAGCACCAGGTGAGCTGGTACTGGTGATGGCACACCTACACTGGTGCTCACAAGGCCCCCAGAAGCCTGGCAGCAGCACAGGCCCCTCCTCACCTAGCACTATAGCCTCGGAGGGGGCTTTAGTACACCCTGGCCCGTCCTCACAGGTGGGAGAGCCACAACGCCCTGGCCCCTGCTTGTAGGGGGACCCAGCGGTCAGGACACAACACTGAGTGGAGCAGGAACGGGGCTTGGTGCTGGGGGACGGCAGCTCTGGAGCAGCGAGGTGGATGCGGCAGAGCAAGGGACAGTGGGCAAGAGGCACATCTGAGACAATAAACTCCCTTGGATGTAATGCAGGGGTTTTAGCACAAACGTAATCCTCCTTCCAGCAATTGCGCTCTCCTTCCAGCACTTGCGCTCTCCTTGGCTTCTGCATACGCCCAGAAACCCGACTTCAAAAGCAGTGGTGGGGCTGCCAGCACGGCAAGCGGCAGGCAGGCAGACGCGGCTGTCTCCTGCTAAAAGCCCTTGGTGCCTTTCATCAGAGTCTGGGGGCGGGGGAAACGCGAACCGCTTGTGCCCAGAGGCAGGCAGCCAACACCGGCATCAGGTCCTGCTGCCAGGCAGCACCACGGCGTTGTGCTCCCAGTGGCACAGATCTGCCACAAGGCTTAACCCTCGCTCCCGGACTAGAGCGAGGTGAACCCTCCTCATCCCCACCTCCCACGAATATACAGGCAAATAAATCCATCTGTGTACAATAAGCACTGGAGATCCTCTTAACGCTCCACGCTCTGCATGTGAGCGGGAGCGAAGCGCTACCTCCCCGCGCAAGAGGGCACAAGAATAGCGGCGTTCGCCTGTAACAAACCCGTTCATGCGGCTAAACGCACCCGCACTGAGGGCACGGCTCCCATCCCCTCCGCACACCAGCCGCCCCCCGCTGCCCCAGCTCTCCCGAGCTGAAGCAACAGTTTGTCCCCAGCAGGCCTTGCTCCTCATTAGTGACAATTAACGAGCGGCCAATGGGCCCAGCAGAGCCAGCAGCATTTTCCAGGGAACAAGTCCCCTTTCAGGGCGCGGAAAATCAACAGGTGCTTTGTTATGCTTGCTTTTGGCTTAAATGAGCCAAAAATTGCCTGCCAAGGAACAGAATTATTTCCTCAATCATATGCTTTATGGCATCTAACTAACCAAGCGGAAAGAGAGAAGTTTGGGATAGCCACTGATGACCTGCGCTGACACTACCAGCAAGCAGTTTCCTGCAGCTTAGTGGGAGCTCACCAGGAAGGACTGGGCTGCTGACTCAAAAAGTACCCATGCTCCTCCAAAAATTATTTATCCATAGCTGATGACGAGTCCCTGTAGCGCTGTGGGACCAGACTTGGCACTTGGTCGCATCCAGCATGGGGAGCTCTGGAAACCCCGCCTGGAATGGCCGGTCACCATCCTCAAGCATGGGACACGGGGAGACCCCCTGCAGCCACACATCCCCTACCGTGGGGCTGCATGGACCAACACCATCTGAGCAAAGAGCCCCCTTCACAGCAGAAAAGTTGCGTAGAGTCACAAGAAACAACCAGGGCCGGAGGGCACTTCTTCACCCTTCCCCAGGCTACAGCTGGCACCTGGGGTTGGCAAAGGCAGCAGGGTAAAGACCTCGATATTTCGACTCTGTGCCCCAGCTGTAAAAAGCTGCGAGCTAGAGAAAGGCTGTGGGAACAAGCACGCAGACCAACAGCCTCCCTCCGAGCGAGGCCCATGCAAGGACCAGAGAGCACAAACTCTTGCTGGCATCCCCATTCTCCAGCCTGGAGCAGGGCTAGCCCATTTCCAGGCCAGCCTTTGCTTTCCTGATTATTTGCCTAGCTGATGAGGAAGAAAAAAGAAAGAATAAAAGCAAGCAAGGGAGAGAAGGGGGTGACGGCCTGGATGTGACAGGCTGGCGAGTTTGACAGAGGAGTCTTGTTTGCAGCGTTTTCACTGTGCTACGACCAGAGGGAAAGCCAAGGAATGCTTCCCAACAGCCAGCACCAAACGCAGCTCCGCCAGCCTGGCTTCAAAGAGTTTTAATTGCCAGTGGCACAAGCAGAACAGGGGAGGGTGGCAGTGGCAGAGGGGTCTGAGGAGGACACAAGGCAGAACAACGCTGAAGGCTTCTGCTGTAGCACAAGATCCATCATGCTCAGGCTTTTTCCCCCAGGAAGGGGAACTCCTGTCATTTCTCCAACCACCCTTGCTCCAACAGCAGAGATGCATTTGACCCCACGCTCTGCCTGCTGGGGGTTGAGCTCGTGGTGTTTCGCACCCAAGGCCGCAATGCCACAGGCTCCAACGAGACCACACCATGCCCTGCGTCAGGGGCATTTCAGACTGCCAGTGCCTCGGAGCCTAGGCTAATCCCATGTGTAGGCCCACAGCTCAGCTGGGGCCCGTGCAGGTGGCAATCAGCAATGGCATGTTTCAGACCTCTGCTAGTTTTCTGGGGGAAGGAGAGGAAGGTTCTGGCAGATCTCTGAGCTGACTAAGAGCTCTGAATGCCCAGTGGCTCTGCTATGTAAGCCAAAGCAATTAGCATTTCTTGGAGACACTCTATATAATCTTCCCTGAGTGATGGGGGAGGACTGCCACAAGCACAGGGATGGGCCCAGGCTGCACAGCAGCTCTGGAACCACTTCCCGGGACCGGTGACATGATGGATGCAAGGCAAAGCCGAGCCCCTCCTGCAGAAGGGGACCTTCTGCCAAGGCCCCTGGGACCACTGTGACAGCCAAGTGCTGGGAAACTGGGCCTTTGCAGGAGCCACCACAACTCCACCAGGGCCCCAGATCAACCAAACCTTGCCTTTGGGTGCCACGAGCTGTCAGATCATAGAAACCCAGAAGACAGAACAGAGACCTAGCCCTTAGCACACCTCTTTCTCATCAAATCACTTCAGCTCAGCCCAGGTGTGAAGGGCCATGTTTTGGGAGGGCCAGAGACAGCTTTATCTGTCAGCTTCCTGGCCAGGCTGATGCCTCGAGGCAGGAGAAGAAACACAGATCAGCCTGGAGATGTTCAGGGAATCACACAAAAGCGGCAGAAGTGAGCCCAGGCCAGCTATCTAAAGTCAGGGATTACTTTTAATGGCTACTTGTAGAATGGAGTGAGTGTGTGCAGGAGAGAGAGCTGAGCTGATGCTGACCCCATCCCTCACAGGCACGTGCGAGGAGCGTATCTCACATCCAGGCTTTTTATAGGGTTTCCAGTTCCCGCTGGGCATGCAGTGCGGCAGCACAGTATGACCACACCACTCCCTGCCCCCAGTAATCACTCACATGCCGTTCACTGAAGTCTTTCCATTCCCTCTCTGGCTGTGTTTCCTCTTCTCTCCTTATTAGGGATCCACCTCCCCATCCATCTTCTCATTCTCCCCCTCTGTGGCTATTTTTAAAATGCCATAAAAGCTTTCAACTGGTAGCATCTTCAGGGATGCAAAGGATTTTACATGTAACCCATCACGAGCCGTCATCACCACATCACTCACCGTGGAGGCAGTGACTTTTATTTTTTAAAAAGCAGGGGAGGGAAGGACTTCCTCGTTCCCCACACAAGTGCTGCCTGGCCAGCTTGGGAAGGGCCCTACGCTGCCTCCAGTGAAATACTGGTACCTTTGCTCATCCAGGACTCCTCTCTCACCGCGGGGGAGGATCAGGACCAAGCCGCACCCCTCTGAGTGGATGGTTGCAGCAGAAGCCTTCGGCAGCAGCACACGTTCCCTGCAGGAGGCTATACGAGAAGATCATTTTGTTCACTGAGTAGAGGGCTGTGAGCTGGGGATCACCTAGCTTTGTGCCTTAGCACTTGCTGTCTGCAGCTAGACGAGGGGAGGCTTCCTTTCTAAGGAGATGGCTGTGTTTTTCTGCTTATCCTCATGTACACGTAAGCTAGGAAGCTGCCTGTAGTGCTTGGTTCCAGTACCAGTGGTCAAGAGGTATGAGATATTCAGGAGGTAGGAAATATGTTGTTGTTGTCGCGAGTAAAACTCCTCCCTGAAGGCACCAGACAGCCCCAAGATCTGAATTGCTCTGAAGATAGCCTGGATAAACAGGGAGGACCAAGGGTTTTTGACCTACTCTATCCTACAGCCTAGCCTAGGAGGAGGGAGTGAAGGAGCATTCAGGGACCATGGAGGCACTTCACTAGCACCAGGGAAACCACTTCTCTCTCCCTGAGCTGCTTATTCCCTGCAGAAGAGCCACCTTCCCCATCCTTCCCAAAAAGGAGACCTGATGCGCGTACCAAAGAAACCTCCGTGCCTCCATGGCCCAGACCCCGACACACCACCTTTGCCCAGGCACAGCCTGGTGCAAGCTGAAGGCAGACTGCCCAACCTTCATTGCAGGGTAGAGGCTCCCTGTTGCAAGTGCCTGGCTGCCTCTGCCAGCGAGCTGCGTTCACGCGCGCCAACCTAGCTGCAGGACACCAGCCTCGGCTGTTGCCAGATGGGATTACGCTGTGCATAACCTGAGAGGTGTCCCACAGCGTGCTAATGCGATGACACGCTCTGTGTCACAGACAGGACCTGCAGGAGCCCTTTTCCATCAGCTCAAATGACCAAGTGTTGGGTGTGTCTGCAAGGAAGGCGGTGCGTTGCCCAGTGCCTGGGCTCCGTCACATCACCCAAGTATCGTCTGAGAGTGATGTGGCTATTTATAGCACATAAGCCATTAAAAGGAACTCATCTTACCTTGCTCCACCTTCTTCATCCTCTGAGGACGCGGAGGTGATGCAGACGGCACCGAGGCAGACAGGAGAGCGGTGACATGAGGAGGGTCACCTCCTGCCCCCCCAGCCCCACGGAGCAGGACCGCGCAGGGCAGAACTGTCTGAGGAAGAGAGGGAGGAGTTTGCAGGGACCAGCGCTTTGCTGTGATCTGTGCAGAGACGAGAGAGGCTGTGCGAGTGCAGACGAGATCCCCGGGAAGCCTGCACTCTATCACACTCAGAGGACTGCTGCGATACCAGCAGAGAGAGGGAAAATCCGGAGCAGAGCAGGCTTCTCAGAGAGCAGGAGAAGCTGGCACTGAGTCATGCAACACATCTCCACACGCTGCCCGGCCCCAGTGCCCGTGGCACAGAGTAGGTGGCTGTGCGGCACAGGCTGCATTTGAGGTAAGCGGTAAGAGCAAGTGGGGTCTGCTCTTACCCCACTAGACATCCGCTAGAGTCTCTGTGCGTGAGCTGGAGGCCCTCTGAGAAGAGGGCCTTGCCTGTCCCAGCCCCCATTTCGTTGTGCCAAGCAAGGAGAGTTTTTCCATGCCCTGGCTGTACTCAGTACCGGATTGTTAAACTGCAACCAGCAGGGCAAGCATGAGCCATGGGGACCTGCTGGGGGCCAGAGACTTGTCTGTGAGCCTATTTGTACACAAGCATCCCCAAGTCCTTGGATAACGCAGACTTTGCAGCCACTGGCAGACAAATCAGTCTGGTGACAAAAATCTCTCACAATGTTCCCAGCTATGTCCCAGAGCCCCCGGACCACCAAGACCTTTTCTCCTGCATCGTTTTTGTCTCAGCTGGAACTGAGATGGGGCAACTTAAGATCTACAACGGCTGCCTGATGGAAGACTGGCTCCCTCCTGGCTGCGAGGGACTTGCCATGCAGCATTGAGCACCTGAGCAACATCACAGCCCTCCATCTGTCCCTATCCCCAGCCAGCCTTTGCCTCTTTCCACGAGACACCTTTGCTCTGCCTCCCATCCCAGATCTCTGCTGTTTCCAAGCTGTCCACTCTTCCGATGTCCTCAGCTCCTCAAGATTCATCAACCTGCTAGCTCCTTAATGGCCCAGAGCCAAGACAAAGGAAGGAGCAGCAACTTCTGGGGAAAGAACAACCCCAAACCTACCCCTAGTTAGGGGCCGTCGTGGCCAAGCTGGCTGGAGGATTATTTTGCCCGGAAGCGTTCAGCGACTTAACACAGCATGTGACAGGCTGGGCAGCAACAACAGACAAATCAGTCTCGATCCACCCCTGCCTGGTGGGCAAGGCCATGAAGTCTAGTCATTCGCAAAGATGCCGCCAGCACAAAGGCGGTTGCCCTCCTCACAGCCCAGCGCTCCTGAGAGGCTTGGATGAGCTGCAGCTTCCAGACATACAACGGAAATGAGTTTCTCACACAGCTTCCTTCCCTCCTCCCTCCTCTTTTAAAGCTTTCAGTAGGGGAAAGTCCTTGATGAGGGGGGTGAAACAGCCTTCTGGCACCCCAGCCTGGCCTCCTGGCAGAGTCCTCCCTGCCTCCACCAGGAATCCACCAGGCTGTGCAGGAGCAGCTGCGGTGCTAGGAGATTCCAGCCGCGATGCCTGACATGTCCCAGCAAGTGCTGCCGAGCAAGGGGAACAAACCACCACCGACCCCGCCAGCGCCAGCTCCTCAGCAACTTTAAAAATAGCTCCCCTTTTGCAAGCGCGTCTGGGCGGGGCAGTCCTCCCAGAGACACCTCTGCCTACAGAGGTGGCAGGAGGATGGTTGCCGAGAGGAAAGGGGCAAGATCTTCAGGGCCAACCTCTGCAAAACACAGATGGTGGGAAGGACATGCAGGGCCTTGAAATGTGCTTTTGCAAATGAGAGATGCTGCAAGCATGTTTTTGAGGGGTACTGTCCTGGGACTGTACACTTTGGGAACTTGCACTTTGAGTCCTGACCTGGGCCCAGCTGCAGACCAAAGCCCAGCTGTGCATATCTGAGAAAGCTTCCTACAATCCACTACTGTGATGACAGCTCAAACCCTGAAATGTACGCTCAGGGAGATCTGCCACAGGCTCCAGATGGGCTAAGGAAGGGCTCTGGGTTTAGCATCACATTAAATATGCCTTTTGTGCCCCAACAGCAGCACTGAACTTCCCAAAGAGTGCCACTGCTTGCCAAGAAGAGACACAGACCCCACCAGCTTCAAACCCACAAGGCATATGCTCCCCTCTCATACAGCCCAGCTCTCTAGAGGCTGCTCTTCTCCCAAGGATCCTTCCAGTTGTCCAGGTCTCTAACGCAATGGTTCAAAATAGAAAAGGAATAAAATATGCATCAACAGAAAAACAAGTGATGCTTGGGGCTCAGAGAAGGACTTTGCAAGGGTAAAAAGACTAAGAAGAAAGGAAGGTCAGACAGGTTGCATAAAGAAACCACAGCATTGGCTCCTTTTTCTTTCAGAATTCAGCCCCAGGCAGCAAATCAATTCCCAGCCCAGGACTTATGGCTGATATTGATAAAGCATTCAATGGACCATACCCAAAACCGAAAAATGCATATATAAACTATGGCCTACCAAAAGCCACACCTGAGCCACCAATATATGGGAACTGTGTGCCTCAGCGTGCTGCCACACCTGATCAGTTTGGCAGTGTTAAGCTTCAAATAGCCCTTTTCTAGAAACCAAGGCATGCCCATCAGGGCTGTGCTTCACAGCACTCTCAAGCTCTTCTGCTTCCCCAGTGATTTAGGGTGAGCCTGTGGACATAAGAGCCAGAGAGGCTGGACAGAAGACGACTCAGGACAGTATGTGTCCCCCAGCAAGAACTGCCTTCTCCACTGCAGGCTCCCATCACCCAGATGGGCCTGCCTTGAGCTGCACACAAGCAGACTTCCTGGAGCTGAAACATCAGGACTTAGGCTCTGCCTTTCCTAGGGCTACTGACATCATTTCTAGTACCCCTTCACTCTGCGAAGTCCCCTTCTTTCCCTGTCTCTCTCCTCCTGAGACCTCACAATCTCCAGTCTACCCCTAGAATGCTTTCCGGAAGCACTGCAATGCTCACAGCTGGAGAGGTACTGATATATTTAGTCTAAAAATATCTAATTAGATGTTCCAACCACTTCATTACGGCACTATCATGACAGGACTACAGGGTCTGGCAGCAACAGGGTGGGTTTGCTTCCACTCCTTTGCAGAGAGCAAAGGCAGCACCACTATCCTTGCTGATAGCAGGACAGTCTGTCATTAGTCCAGCCTGCTGGCATCACAAATACAATTATCTAGCTAAACTGATCGTCACTCTGTCATTAGGAAACTTGCTATTTATTTTATAAGAGCATGGCAGGCCCTTGAAATAATTCAATTGCTTCGATTGACTTTACAGCACGCACTCCATTGGCCTGCAGGGCCACTTTCCATGGCTGCTGCTCTTTGAGGGGCAAACTGCCAAGAAAGAAGGTTTGCAGGAAAGCCTGAACGAAACTTGGTGAGAGGAGAGAGTCCATCCACCAGCCTGAGGACAGAGAGGAGCTGCCTAAGCTCTGTATTTTCTCGGTTGGCACCAAAGTGAACACAACAGAGGATTGTCCCTTTCCTAGGCTGCTCCAGGAGAACAGAGGGAATGATTTGTAGAAGGTTGTTTGTGGCAGTGAAGTCAGGGTTTAGTGTTATGGAGGGGAACAAGATGAGGCTGGAGGGCCTGGAGCTCCCCTCAGCACCCCAGTTCTGCAAAATTCAGTGCCGCAGCCCTCTCTGGAGAAACAAGAACATTAGGCAATATTCATGGTTAATTTTTGGAAAGATACATACTAGGAAGGTAGTTTTTCCATCTCTTGGAATGCTCTGTATAAGTCTCTCCCTACCTACACCTGCACCTGTATCTCTGCTCTTTCCTCTTTGTCCCATCTCCACCAATGCCTTGAACCCCTAGTCTACTTCGGCCTTCCTTAACCCTCTCTCACCCTTTTACAAACCTTCTCCATGTTAATCTACCCAAGAAAAAAGACCTCTGCTTGGAGACCAGCCTCTTCCCTGCCATGCTGCTGCACGTGAAGAGCCTGTCCACCTTCGCAGCAGTTGCTGGCAGAGCAGGAGGTAAGGAACATGAAGTGAGGCGCACAAGGACTCACTCGGTGACAGAGCCCATCTCACCAACCCCTCAGGGGCTAGGCAGAGACACCACTGCACTGGGCAACGTTTTGCCCTGCTGGGTCCCCCTTACTGGGACCGTGCTTTGTCCTCTTTTTGCTGCTTGCATGTGGTAACCTCCACCATTGCAGAGACTCCCGGAACAGGGAGCACAGGTGGGTAGTGTGGCACAGCGAAATGAAATGGGAACCAACGTTGAGTAGGAACCATTGGTACTAAGACAGCAGAGGCTCATCTGAAGGCTCACGTGTATCATACCCCACCCCCCACCCCAGGCCTGGCATCATCCCTGCAAAAAACAGAGCCTCTTCAAAGAGAGGAGACTAACACTGCTCGACACGTTGATGGGCTGATCCCTTTGGGTTCACTGCACTTCTAAACACTGGAGCAATAGCATGTCCTTAGCAGGTCCTACTCCACTGGGTGGGGAGACAAGAGAGTGAATCACCCTGACAGATGAGCTGGAAAGGGCAATGCTAGAGCTCCTAGAGACACGCAGCACCATGTGATTCTTCTTTAATTACACAGGGACTTAATAGAGTTTGCTGGTAAACACCTTGTAACCACATGTGCCTAGAGATTACTGGGTAATTATACTTAGTGGATCACCATGTAACAGGGAGTATGATTTAGAAGACAAAAATAACCAAGCAAACATGCTGCATTCATCAATATCTGTCATGAAGCCTTCCTGCCCAAATGCTTAACTAGCCAGCCTTTCCTCATGTCTCCTTTCCCGGCTTTCTGAGATCAGTGGAGCCTCTGAGTGGAGATTTGGAAGGTGACGGGATGGTCTGGGGGAGCTTTCTACCTCATACACCAAACCCTCTGCAAGACCTTCCTCTGCTCTGACAGGCCATCAGCTGCTCAAAGGGAACAGGATGGATAGGTCACATTTGTTTTTTTCTTCTGAATTAACTTTGCACAGGGGCAGATTCTAGTTTTCCTCTTCAGGGCACTTGCTGGAGACAAAAAGGAGGCTGGAAGTTAACTTCTGAGCCAGTTTCTATCTCCCATTGCAGCCCTGGTCCAGAGTCTGCCAAACCAGATTTGACCTAGGAGTTTGCCAGGGTTTAGCCTCCTCTGGAAATTTTGCCTCTGTCTTTGCTGAGGCAGGAGTGGCCTGTAATGGCAATGGGCATCTTGCTCCTACTGAGACCAGTGCCAAGACTTCCAGTAGTCTCTATCCCATCCTGACAGAGGTGGTATGCAAATGCCAGCTCCCAGAGGTCTCGCTGGTGTGGCTTGTGATCTACCGTCTTTGCAGGCTGCATTCACTGCACAGACCTGTGGCACCCAAAAATGGTTGCCACCTTCAAAGCAGCCAAAGGGATTATTTACATTTATTTCAGAGAGTCTTAAATCCTCTGGGCAGTTAACAACTTCAGCCCTTTGCTTTTCAGTGAATGCAAACCCAGTGTCCACCACATTAGACCCTCCGCACAGGGCCAGTTTCTCAGGGAGATGTTGAAGCCCAGAAACTGGGGGATTTTAAAAGGTGATTTTAAGGCACCTTCTCTTTGGCAATGGCTTGTACTAGAGGATCTAGCTTCCATGAAAACGCAGCACGGCACTGACAGACCTATTTATAACCTTATGAATCCATTTGCAACCAATTAGCAGTGCTAACTGGAGTGGGAGGTATAAATAGCGAAGCTAATGTAAATATCAACACTGCACCCTCCAAACGTGCGCCGCACGCCTGGTGTGCCGCAGAAGAGAAGCCACTTCTCCCAGCCAACACCGTCCTCGCACCCTCAGGCCTGCTCGATCTGCTCTGCAGCCTCAGGACATGAGTTTACACCCAAGATCAGGGGCCTTTCCCTCTCCCTTAGGAGCAGCATTTCCATATGGCTTTGCCTTCCCGGCATCACGGGAGAGGATGACACAGGGCATCCAGACCTGGGACATGTCTGGAGGGGGAAAGCAGTCCCTCTGCCGCAGCACGGGCATCCAGGGTGCCTGCGCACTGTGCCAGAAGCGGGGTCGGAGACGCACCTGCGCCGCCTGGCCCGAGGATAGCCAATCCCGCGCAGAGCTCCCCGGAGGCCTCGCCAGAAGCTCTGCACAGCAGCGTGGCTTGAGGCCAGCACAGCGGCCCACAGCCCCAAATTTCCTGCCTCACGTCAGCTTCAGACAGGATAGAGGCGTTATCAAAATCCAGTGAGTTAAATGGAAAGAAAGGGTGGGAATTCACAGATCTGATATGCAGCTGTAGACAAAAAGCCTTGATTTACCAGCCCTGAAACACCAGTACTGCAGCCACAGGTGAGCACGGGGCTACGACCTAGAGGCACACTCCCCACAACATGGATTCATCGTCCTCACAACCCTGCAGCTAGCGTCTCATGCACCAGGAGAGATCAGATTTGGGAGGATGGAGTGTAGCCGAGCCAGCCGGGCGCACAGGCTGGACCCTGCTGCTCCTGAGCCCTCAGTCATTAGCAACACAAGAGCCTGGAAATGAATGCAGAGAGCAGCAGAGGCTGGTCAGGCTCGGGAGGCAGTGCTGCACGCACCGGCTCTGCAAGCAGGTCGCCTCTCTGACCAACAAGTGGCCCCACGCACCTCCGAGCGGCCAGCTGCTAGCAAAGGGCTGCAAGCCAGAGCCACTGAGGATTGCAGCCAGATGGCATCAACAGGGCAAAAATCAAAATGGCACACAGGACACTGGCAGGAGGCTCCTGTGCTGCCCTTCCACTCGCAGCCACGCGTGACCCTGAGGGATGCAGCCTGGGCAGGGCAGCGCAGAGCTGGACTAGGAAGCAGTGAGAAGAGAGAGATAGCTTTCGGCAGCATTTGCTCCTGCCGCAGAAAACGCTGACGGAAGAGGTGGCCCCGTTCCCCATGTCTTGCTCACAGTATCAGCTAGGAGATAAACGTGCCGTTGCTAAAAATAGACATAAGTCAGTGTTTCGGTGTGGAAAGCCCCACTTTGAGACCTTTAGCTACCTGGAAGGCTCAGAGAAACCTGAGAGTCTCACAGTGCCCCCAGTATTTGCACAACCCTTGTACAATAAAGTGGGTTCCCTAAGGGCGTCCACCGTAAATAATCAACCTACAGCACTAGAAACCAACAGCAACAGTTACGAACTTCCCAAATCTTAACTTAAACACATGGCTACATAGAAAAAGGTAATGGCAATGTTTATGCAAAAATTGCAAAGCCCTACAGAGTGCTGGGCAAGAGCCACAGTACCAGCCTGCTGCTGGGAGAACAGGGTAGCCAAAGCATTGCAAAGGGACGTGCCCAAGGTCGCAGAGTAAGTCAGTGGCAGAGGCAGGAGCACATCCCAGGAGACTCCTGGCTCTCTGCTTTCACCATTGCCCAGTGGCCTCCCTCTCATGAGTCATGTCACATCCCCAGGCAGGCAGCACGCCTGGCTTCGGTTGGCACCTCTGCCCACATGGGGGAGGACCCAAGAAAGGAGTTTTGCCGTGCAATCAGATAGTTATGATATGCTGGCTCCATTAACAGTCCTTATCATTATCAGCATCCACGCTGGCTATTAAGAGCAGGAAAGGAAGCCCCTGAAAGAAACTATACATTCATCAAAATTTGCTTAGAAAAAGCCCTTTCGCATCCTTTTGTGTCCCACCCAACCACACTGGTCACGGAAACCAGGGAGCACCATATAACCATCCCACCTTGCCACACCACCTCTACATCAGACCCAGAGTTCATCGCTCAGGTGGGCGAGTGGGAGGAACCTTTTGTTATCATGCATCTAGCAGGATTAGGAAGGAGTTGGTCCCTGTTGTTTTCTATCCAAGCACTGCTGGCCTGGAGGCTCCCCCCAGAAAGGGCACCAGCCAGTGTCCCAGGTGCAGCTCGTATGGAGGGCACCTGGAAAGTTTTCTCTCCTCTGATGCAGTCCAACAAATCTGGAATCACCTGTTCTGTTGCCTGCAGCATGCTAAGGAATTTTTCACGCTATTCTGCTTGGGAACCACCCCAAACCCTCGTACTGAGAAACCTCAACACACAGATGGGATGGAGAAGTCACTGCTCTGCCACTTTCTGCCTGGGCGAGTTCTCCTCGCTTCACATAGTCCGTAGGACCCAAAGAAGTGAGGGCACCTGCCCCAGAGGAAGGACGTTCAGGTGGCAATCAGCATTGACTGCTTTGGCCAGGGGCTTGTTTTCTAGAAGAATGGACAAAAGTTCTGCCAGCAAGGTGGATGGATACAGCTGTCATAGATAACAACAGTGAGGAAAAAGAAATCAGTTGTGACTCGATCAACCTGATCGCTCTCTCCACACTTTTCAACAAGGACACAAAAAGAAATAACTAGACTGTTAATAGGTGCCAAATACGCTTTTATGCAGTACATTTCAAAGCTCTGCTCTGCTTCTTCAGCAATTCATACATAGCACATGAGAGTCTCTGTCCCTGTCTCTCACACATGCACAATAGAAACACCCACATGCCCAGCTGCAAGAGAAGGTACATGTTTTTCTGTATTACACCTGTGCTTTGCTCAGTTCTCTGGTTTCTGGGTCTCACCTTGCCCTGATCCTGCTCCTCCTCCTCCCCATCAACTCTTCCCCCAATGTCTATTTATCTGTAGGCAGTGGCATCAGCAAGTGAGCCTATTGCCTGTCAGAGTGCTCCTGAGAGGGCTTCCTCTCATCATGTTGCATATCGACATTTTAGTCTATGATCTGCCCTCCAAACCCCAGAAATACAACCTAAAAAGTACTCAGTGGAGACAAGCACCATGGCTCAGCCCTCAAGAGAAGGGCCAGCAAAGCCACACACTGTCAGAAAGCAAAAAGCAGAGAATAAAAAAAACATCCATCCTGTTAGGCTTGTCAACCCTGGCATGACATTTTCTTTCCGATTCCTTCCAGCCAGATCCGTGCAAAATCAGCCCTGTTCCCATAGCAAAGGTAGGGGAAAGCTGTACTTACTGCTAGTGCTCATCTTGCTGGTCCTCCTCTGTCCTTCTCATTCAACAAAGGGGATAAAGATGCTCTTTAAATCCTCTTTTTCTTTCTCCTTTCTTTCTCCCCCCTGCGAGTGGGAGGGGGTTTCCTCTCTCCTTCCTAGGAGAGATATTTCTCCGTGATTCCCTGGCTAATTCATCCCAAGGTAGCTCCCCGATCCAGCACTGTTACCACTGTTAGTAAGCCTTTGCTCTTACTCTGGAGCTGCCCGATGGCAAGGTCACGGGCAGGGGTGGCTGGGGAAGGGATAAGGTGAGGAAAAGACCCGGCAAGAAACCGGGGAGGGGGCGTCTCTGCCCCGGTACGGGCTGCACAGGCGGGAGAGCCTCACGGCGGGGGCTGCGCGCCGGGGGAAGGAGCTGTCATGCAATGCGGAGCAGCGCCCGTCAGCGCACTCCTTATAGCTGGGGGTGGGAGCCGGGGCGGGGAAGGGGGCA